CAACTCCTGACCCTCGTACATGACAAATAAGCTCTCATGAGACACTGTAGATATTGTTGCAGGTCACAATCCAAATGGCTGATGGGGTGGACTGTTGTGAATCCTGTGCCATCTGGCCCACTTCTCCATCAGAATTAAAGCTTTCTTCTTCCAAGTGCAGGAAGCGCGGCCATCTGACAGCCCTCAGCCTTCAGCCCTCATTGAGAGTTGCTCTAAGATAAAGGAACCTGTGCCACTCAGGGTCACACCACTCAGATTTCTTGCTGTGGGAGCATAACTGACCAACATCCATCTTTAGCCACCACTATGTTTGCACTGAGGTTGCTCCTAGGCTGCTCCCAGCCACTGACTGAGCACAGCAGGGTACCTGTGCGTGCCCATAGCCATGCTCACAAAATCATATCAATGACCAGAGTCAGTTACACCTGCCAGGACAGTGACTCCTGTTCTTGGCATGAGGGACCTGAAGTGCTAGGCAGCAGAAGTTCAATGGGATTTTGCCATGTCTCTGGTTTTGTTCTCCATTTAGGAGTCAATACCTCTCAACATGCAGAGTCCAGAGGTGTGCAGACCTGAACACACACTCCCCAAGTGACTCATTGGGAGTGATGATACATGGGGCCACTACTACTTCCAACATCTGTTTTCTGGACCCATGAATTCTATAAAATGTAGCTACACCACATGATGATGGTCATTGATTTGGATATACTGCATCCTGTGAATTATGTAGTCAGAATGTCCTGTGTATTCAAATGCCTGCAGTAAATATCATCATCCTCTTTGAAATTAAATCATGTTCCCGTATCTTCTATTCATTTTTTTTAAAACTAACCATACTCCATACTCTTTTTAGGCTATGTTTTACCTCTGTCCTCCCTTTCCCTTACAAATTTTATAGGTGATATGTATTTGCCACCTATGTTGCTTCAATGCTCACTCTTCAACTCATTCTACATGGATTGTTACTGCCCCTGCTTCTCTATTTAGAGGTAGTAAATGAGACCCCCGCCCCAATTTTGACAAGAGCTTCCATGTCACCAGCAAATGTCAAGGGATATTTTTCAGTCCTCGTTTGGTTAGCCCTTTCAACAGAACCAAAACTATTAACCACTCTTCTTTTCTTCAGAAAGGACCTCTTTGCCTCCATGACATCGTAGACCCTAAGTGATCAGTGATCCTTGAAATATCCAAAGATTCTTCGAGAAAAGAACATTACAGAAAGTTGGTTCCTGGCCTCAGTTCCTGTAGAAATTAAACATTCCTTAGGGGACACCCTGTCACATTTAACTCAAATCAAACAAAGGAGAATTTTTCTTTGGAGAAAATACTTTCTTTTTCTCCACTGTTGCCTGCACAGACACAACATTGGCTGAAGATTTTCCATTCTCTTGTCTTTGTACCCCAAGGGAGCTGAGTTGTTTGGAAAGAAGAAAGTCACTAGGACAATTTATTTAATGAGGAGCTTTGAGAATTCAACACTTGAGATGTTAATAACTTGTCCCTGTTGCCTTTTTCCTATACTTCTCTGATTCCTGCCTGGGTGAAAACATGAACGGGCTTCCCAGGGGCAGACCTCAGAGAGCAGAAAGCTTCAGTGAGGGTCGTAGTATCCAGTGAGGGCTGGTGGAGTAAAAAGGAAAAGAGGAGAGAAAGTGAGTACTGGAATTTACCTCTACAGTAATGTGACTGGGACAGTCCCATCTTTATTTAGTCTACAACAGCGCAGTCTCTGTACTTCGGAGATACTTTAGTTTCTACTGGAACCACTCTTTTTCTAGCACTTGTTCTCTTTCTTCTTTCTCTTCCGGAATCTAGAGCCTCTCTCCAATAAGAGTTGGTTTCTGGAGAGTCTCTACCTCTTCTCTACTCTTTCCCATAATTGTAGGCTCCTGTTGGATTTCCTGTGTCCAATCATTTATTCACTAACTACTCACTGGAGATCCATCATGCACGAGGTATTGTCTACTTAATTCCTAATGTGATTGGCTTTTTCTATTACATTCTCTAACTATTTTGCAGCAGATTTGACTCACTGATAGCACTTAGTAGTTCTGTATTTGTTGTTGTTGTTTCACCTTAGTGCTCACAATATTCACTACAAATTATGTAGTTGTTTCTGATGTTCGGTACTCAGACCAATTTCCTTTTCTCATCTTACCAATCTCTTTAAATGTTCAGGAGAATACTGAATGATTGAAGTTCGAGTAGACCGCCTTGCTCTGTTCATGAATCTAACACAAATATTTTAGTGTTTTAATGTAGAATATCCTGTTTGCTGAGGTTATAAAACAATCACTCCCTAATAGTTTAAGAAATTTTCTTTAGTTTCTTCTTTTAGCAAGGGGCTCTGTCTGGGTGCTAACCACAGTAATGGCTGTTACATTTTCTCAAATGCATTTTCTACTCTGATTATCTTTGTGATTTCTCTTCACTGACCTATTTTCATGATGCATTATGTTAACTAACATCACAGGATTAAACCAGCTTCCCATTCCTATAATACGTATTACTTATTCATGATGTATTATTCTCTTAAAATAGATGTGAATGCATTTTATTTATCATTCAATTTCGTGTCTATAATCAGGAATACACGAGCTTGAAGATTTCTTTTTTGTGTCCTAGTTGATGCATTGAGTCTCAATCTTTATACATCTACCATTTGCGTGTGTTGAGCACCTGCTATGTGTCAGGCACCATGTAAGTCCTTGGAAAGACAATGGTGAACAAAAACACTCAGGTCCTCTGACCCACAAATGAACATAAAATTACCAACATGAAAGGCACATCAAGGAAAAGTACAGGATGCTGGACTTGTGGGCTCACCCACTCTGTCCTCCTCACCCTCCCTCTCTGTTCTCCATCTCACTGGCCTCTCAAATCCTTTCCATTCCCGAGCTCACTGACCCACAGGTTAACCATGAATTCTGTTCTCTCAGCCCAAAATGCTTGGCCTTTCCTTATTTCCCCTGGTTAACAGTTACCCATCCTTCCTCTCACAGCTCAAATATTCATATTTCAAAGAAGGCTTTTCCACCCACCTCCCCAGACTAAATTGGCCATCAATGATTTTTTTCTCTCTTAATTAATTAGGATTCTCTAGGCATTAATAACACTGGCATTTTTTCTATCACAGAGAATGTAAACATTTATTATCAAATCTAAAATTTGCCTTTCACTTTTTAGGATGACTTGATTTATAGAAGCTTTGAATAATTTTTTTATCAAATCTATCAATCATTTGTTTTTGATGTTAATTGCACTGATTTTTAATACAGCGCATCCTCACTTCTGAGCATGTACACATGAGCACACACTCTCCCACATGCTTTGTATGTTATTTTAAACGTTTTGTGATTTTGTTCCCTTCCCTTATCTATGTAGTCCACATGCTTTTCCCTCTTCTGGGCGAATCCACCTGGCAGGCAGTCTCTGAAAGAGAAAGCTATAGGGAATCTTCATTAATTAGTGCTGTGTGGTCAAAAGAGGTAACAGACCTGTTGTGTTTATAATGATCAGAATTCCATCCTTGATGACTGCCCTAGTTTAAGGAAAATCTGAAATGATACCCATGCAAGACAGATTTATTGTGATGTTAAGAAGAGAAGCTGAGGGGCCGGCCCCGTGGCTTAGTGGTTAAGTGCACGCCCTCCGCTGCTGGCAGCCCAGGTTCGGATCCCGGGCGCGCACCGAAGCACCGCTTCTCCAGCCATGCTGAGGCCACGTCCCACATACAGCAACTAGAAGGGTGTGCAACTGTGACATACCACTATCTACTGGGGCTTTGGGGGAAAAATAAATAAATAAAACCATAAAAAAAAATACTTAAAAAAAAAAGAAGAAAAGCTGACATTTATCAAATGTTTACTGTATGTCACAGGAATCACAATAAAAATTGCATGCATCATCTCATTTAATTTACTCATCAGTCATAGAATGTAGAGAATATTTACTAGCCCCATTGTAGAGGTGAGGTATCTGTAGCCAAGAGAGATTAAATAACTTCCTCAAGGTCACACAGATAGTAAGTTGGAGGAGCTAAATTCTATTGTAGGAAGTCTGACTCAAGATCCCATTTTCTAAATCACAGCTCTATTTTGTACTTTGGGAGAGTTATATATCAAAAATGATTGTCATAAAAGGAACAGATTAGGGGCCAGCCCAGTGGTGCAAGCGGTTAAGTGCACATGCTCCACTGCGGCGGCCCGGGGTTCGCCAGTTCTGATCCCGGGGGCTCACCGACGCACCGCTTGTCAAGCCGTGCTGTGGTGGCATCCCACATAAAGTAGAGGAGGATGGGCATGGATGTTAGCCCAGGGCCAGTCTTCCTCAGCAAAAAAAAAAAAAAGAGGAAGATTGGCAGATGTTAGCTCAGGGCTGATCTTCCTCACACACACAAAAAAGGAACAGATTAATATTGATAACAATAGCTGTCACTTATTGAGATCCTACTGTGCACAAAGGCATTTCTAAACCTCACAAAGAAGGTAATAGCAGTAACCACATTTTTTAAAGAACAAAAAATAAGACACATGAGAGTTAATTGCGACATCAATAGGAAGCATTGTCACAGAATTAAGGTTGTTTGAGTTGAAAACCCATGTCTTAATCATTATTGCAGAGTTATTAGAATGAAGGAAGTATGGAGATTACCAAAGGAAAGACCTTCAATGCCTTGTTTATTTTAGAAGAGTCATATCAAGGAAGAAATTGGTTTATGTCCATAGATTTGAATAAGAGAATGAGAACCAGTGAGTAGGAGTTAAAAAGAGAGAATGATTTCTGCTAAATTACAGAATGTCTGAATGATTACACACACTTAAAATGTAAGTGGGCTACCACTTGGCTGAGTGAATAACTTACTTTGGAAAGACTCAACTGAGGGCAAAGTTTGTCCACCTAAAGGTGGAATTAAGAGGTGCTGACTGGCTCAGTTGTCAGTTGGCTATTCACTGAACATTGCATTTGCCTCCTTTTTCTGAAGACACACCAGCTATATGGAATCAGGAAACCACACGGAAATATCAGAATTCCTCCTCCTGGGTCTCTCAGAGGATCCTGAACTGCAGCCCCTGCTCTTTGGACTGTTCCTGTCCATGTACCTGGTCACTGTGGTTGGGAACCTACTCATCATCCTGGCCATCAGCTCTGACTCCCACCTCCACACCCCCATGTATTTCTTCCTCTCCAACCTGTCTTTTGTAGACATCTGCTTCATCTCCACCACTGTCCTGAAGATGCTAGTGAACATCCAGACACAGAACAAACATATCTCCTACAGAGAATGTCTCACTCAGATGTATTTTTTTATGGTTTTTGGTGGAATGGATAATTGTCTCCTGACTGTGATGGCCTATGACCGGTTTGTGGCCATCTGTCACCCGCTGTGCTACATGGTCATCATGAACCCACGCTTCTGTGGCCTCTTGGTTCTGATATCTTGGGTCATTATTTTCTGTATCTCCCTCCTTCACATTCTACTGATGGTGCAGCTGACCTTCTGTATAGGCACTGAAATCCCACATTTCTTCTGTGAACTGGCTCAGGTTCTCAAGGTGGCCTGCTCTGACCCCTTCATCAATGACATCTCCTTGTATGTGGCCACTGCACTGCTGTGCGTGTTTCCTCTGACTGGGATACTCTTTTCCTACTCTCAAATTGTCTCCTCCTTAATGAGGATGGCCTCCACTGAGGGCAGGTATAAAGCATTTTCCACTTGTGGGTCTCACCTCTCTGTGGTCTCCTTGTTCTATGGGACAAGCATGGTGGTCTACCTCAGTTCTGCTGTGACCCGTTCTTCCCAGAGAAGCTCGATCGCCTCAGTGATGTACACCATAGTCACCCCTATGCTGAACCCCTTCATCTACAGCCTGAGGAACAAGGATGTGAAGAGGGCCCTGGGAAGGCTCCTCAGACAAGCAACCTCTTGCCTGTGATCATCACTGGCCTCAGAACTAGTTGGACATTGTGGGCCCCAAAGGCAAATGTTGCAAACTTAAATCTGGTTATTTTTCTCCCCTAAAACAAATACTTGATTTCTTCAATTCCGAGAGCACCTATGACTTCAATTTTATTTGTAGGATGTGTTAATTTCTCCCCAACAATTCTCCTCAGTAATCTGTTTTTGACTTTTCTTGCTTATGTGCTGTCCATTGAAGTTGCATGTTTCGTCAGCTTTTTTGCCACAATTCTTCATATTTCTAACTTCAGATTTAAAGTATTTATCATGTCAAGTGCTGACGTGGTTTCCCCCAAGATTATCCTCTGAAACGTTGAAGTTCTTCACCTTCATTTGGTTGTGGGCTTATTTTTCCAGAACAAATGGAATGAAAATTACACAGTCATCACAACAACTGCTTACCACATCAGGTCTGTTCTTGTTTCTTCACAACTATGACTTTATTTCACCTCGAAAACATTCCTGTGAGATATTTTCCCCACTTCACCCCACTTTTCAAAAGAAGAGACTGAGATTGAATTGTACTCTAATCTGGCTTGCTGACATTGACTTTGCTATCCTACTTTTCATAAGAACAGTGCTGTGATTTTCAACTTCAAAGTAGGAATATAGATTTAAGAGCTGGTTTGTTCAGATGATTCATAGTAATAACCCACCTGGAATAACTCTGAGATGTTGCTTCATTCTTTGTGATCCTACCTTCCCTCCTTCATTCTCTTCCTTCCTTTATTTGACCTTTTTTCCCCCAACATTGCAATATTGAGATACACTGCTAAGATACTAAAACATGTAGTAATGAATACAGTAGAATTAGAGTTGTTTTCTCACATGGTTTAATTTTTTTCTGGGAATCTCCGGACCTGCCATCAGGAATCATAGTTACACACATGTAGAAAGTGTTGAGAACTTAGCTCAACTTTATGGAAGAATGGTGATAGAATTGAGTTTACAGGGAAAGATAGAGAAGTAGATGCTGTGAAAATTCCTCCCACATTCTCTGGGATCCTCTCACCATCTCCGTTGAATGACTGCCAATGGCAAGCAGCAGCTGGAACCTACTTTTCCCAATATGTGGTGGCAGAAGTGACAAGAAATTACACCACATCAGACACAGCACTTGAGGGAGACATGGGGGTATGCCATCCCCTTCACCCTTTAGCTGGGATAATTTTGAGGTTTGGAATTTGTATCATTCTCCAGAATTTCCCCTCAGGATGAAAACTCTGCTCACTTCCTGTGATAGCTGACTTAATGCAAGCTTTATTGGATGTATTTTCTTCCCTGCGTCCACTTCTCTCTCCCATCCATTCACTGCTCCTTCTGGGGAAGTGATTGTACATGAATCCTTGGCTCAGCATCTGCTTCTGTGGGAACCAAAACCAACACAGGTAATAAAGACTTGATGTCTCAAGACAATATCATGAAAAGATTTAGGGCTTTGAGATAAAAAAGAAAGTAATTATTGGAGACATAGTAAGAACTGAAAAACTACTCAAAAATTATAATTTGTTAAAGATGAAAGACTTATTTGATATGGCTTCACATCACTTTGATTCCATTAAGTTTGACCCAAAGTGCATTTATCTACTGTGAACAAGTTGAGGAGAGGACTAGACAGGTACAAATGATTGCAATACAGAGGGGTGAGCATAATAAAATTGGAATGTAATAGATCCAGTGGAAAACAAATGTTAAAGCTTTCAACTCACCTTGAGTAATTCCAGGAAAATCTCTTTAGACATTTATCTTGTATCATTTTCATTGAGGTATAATTTACATACATGAGATTCACCCATGATAATGTAATTCGATGATTTTAGTAAATTTATAGAGTTATGCATTAATTTTCCCAGTTATCCACATTAGGGGATATAGTTGACAAGCATAGAGGTATATATTATCAGAGGAAGCATTTGATAGGTTATGTAATTTTTCAAGTAATTTTAGAAGGGCATTCACCTGCTTTTTAATGTGCTTTAGCAGAGATGACACATTGGAAGATTCATCAGGTACAAAAACACAGCATTCAGTTTGAATGACTGCACATGTACCACCTTGGGATATAGTTAGACTACCTAAGGCCATTCTATTTTAAAGGACAGCCTTCCTCATTAAAGACATTTCAGTATTTAGTAAGGCTATTCCTGCTTGACTAAGGTTAAGGGATTTTGAGTAAATTTAGTCAGGGCTTATGTATGTGATCTGACATCTTTTAGCCCCAAGGAAGGAACAAATATAACGACTAGGTGATCATATCAGTGGAATACTGAATGAGTCTCTCTGGCCTTAAAGAAAGGAAGATTGGCAACATGTGTTAGCTCTGGGTGAATCCTTCCCCGCATCCAAGAGAAACCAAGAGTGCAGTGTGCTAGCCATCTGGGTGGTAGCCAAGGCCAGAGGTTTGTTCCACATAACCATTGAGTTCCATGAGGAGCCACCCAATCATTGCCTGGCCTTTGAGACCAGTCTATTCTCAACAAATCACTTTCTTTCAGTATGATAGTATTCTGGAAACTTTAAAGATTTTATTTATTCATTTTTTTCCCCCCAAAGCCCCAGTAGATAGTTGTATGTCATAGGTTCACATCCTTCTAGTTGCTGTACGTGGGACTCGGCCTCGCGTTGGACGGAGAAGTGGTGCCTCGGGGCACGCCCGGGATCCGAACCCGGGCTGCCAGCATCAGAGCGCGCGCACTTAACCGCTAAGCCACGGAGCCGGCCCATGGAAACTTTAAATGGAACTCTTGTAAAGTGGTTATATGGTTTAAGCATGACAAAGGTTTAAATGAGGAGATATAATGTTGGGAATACAGGCCTGGTCTGAAGTCTTGGGATAGCCCTCTACAACAGACACCATCTTCTTCTCATGCTGGCTTGGAGATATTTGTCTTGGTCAGTTGAAGTTGGGTATCAGAAATAGGAACTGAAACCCAGACAGTTAGAGAAGACTTTGGAATGAGAAAGTGAATCCATGAGTCTATGCCTTTTGATTTTGCAGTGCATGAATTGGTTAAGGGTACCTGGTATGGTCCTTTCCAATGGGCCTGCAAAGAGTCTTTTATCTGGTGTCTTTTCCAATAAACAAAATCTCCAGGTTATAGTCCATGATGCTTAAGGTCTTCATCTCCTGGGAGCTTGCTGTGAAAAGAATCAGCTACCAATGTTTCCTTTTTTATTTAGTGTCTCAAGGAGACGTTGAAAATAATGTAAGATTTCTGCTTTAAGTAAAGTTGGTTCATACATTCCTTCATCTAATTGTACACACCATCCTGTTATTATTTCAAAACACGACAGCTGATGTTTCCCAAATGGTCCCAAATGGTGCAGATCTAAGATTGAAGAGTATTAGCAGAAGAGCTTTAGGCCATAAGAGATTAAATGTGTCTGAAACCTTTGCCAATTGATTTTTTTTTAATTTTATTTATTTATTTATTTTTTTCCCCCAAAGCCCCAGTGGATAGTTGTATGTCATAGCTGCACATCCTTCTAGTTGCTGTATGTGGGACGCGGCCTCCGCATGGCCGGAGAAGCAGTGCGTCGGTGCGTGCCCGGGACCCAAACCTGGGCAGCCGGTAGCGGAGCGTGCGCACTCAACTGCTAAGACATGGGGCCGGGCCCTGTTCCTATATTTTTTAGCCAAACCATATTGGTCTAAATATTGGTTTTTGGTACAAAAGTTAACATCCAAATTCTAGGAAATGTATCTGATTTGCAAGAAAAGAGGGAAAAAGATGAAGGGCAATAATTAAAGAGAAAATGCCAGATGATACTGTCTCTCCCCTTTTTTTAAGATTTCATTTTTTATTTTTATTTTTTTATTGAGGTATAGTTGACATATAACATTATATTAGTTTCAGGTGTACAACGTAATGAATCATTTTTTGTATATATTGCAAAATGATCGCCACAATAAGTCTAGTTAACATTCATAGACTGTGCTTTTTTAAATGGCTCTCTTTCCTGTCTCTGGCCTTGATCCCATTAAATTTCAGACTGGGGGGTCTTAAAAGAACTCAGACCAACCCTATAAGCTGCTATGTCTCCCCTTATTGTTAAAGGAGACTTAAAAGTATGCTGTGTTCACTGAAACGATCTCTATATATTTAACTGTACTCGCCCACTTCCCCCTTAAATTTACATTTTTCAACCATTCTGGTCTCCCACAAACGTTTGCTTCCTGGTCAGGGGCAGATAACATCCTATGATCCAGCAACAATAGGATGCCCTGCAGGACCCCTGAAACCTCTGTTTTGGGACCACAGGGCAGAGCATACCTCTGATTTCCCTGCTCCAAAAGCTTTGCCAGACTTCTCAGGATATAAAGGCTGGTTAATAAATCCTAATGCCCCCTTGATCCCTTGCAGGAAATGGAAACAATAGCCTCAGCAACCACACCAGGAATGGTGTGGACTACTGCAAGAGGAGATAACAAACTTCATTTAGTGAATGCCGACTATATTAAAAAATGACCAGGGAAGAAATTCTTATGCTTTTTGCAGAGCCCGTAAACTCCACCCAGACAGTCAGCTGACCACACTCCTATGGATATGGAGATAAACACCTTCCATGACCGCCCCACTTTCCTCTGGTAAAGGAATAGCTCTCTGGGAGAGAGACTACAAAAATGACAAAGAACAAACTTATCAAATACAGGTGTTGGCCCTTATGTGGGCTAGCTGTGTTTGTCTGTTTGGACTGGGTGCTTGGGATAATTGAGAGCCTCAGGCTCAATAATTCTGACCCAAGGATTACTACAAGCCTCTGGACAACCAAACATGCTGCCATAACACTTGGATATTTCAAAATCAGAAAGGTATTGAGCCTCTCCCAAATTTCCACAGACCCACATACCACTGCATGTAGCTAAGTTGGCACCTCAGCGAGCACAGCAGAACCTCACCCTAAAACAAAGGGCATGCGCCAAATGGCTGGCCTGAACAGCCTGCATGCAGGCCCACTCACAGGGCCAAGGTAATA